TTCCTATGCATCCCGCCCGCCGCTCTACCTGGAGCTGCTAGGTGTTTTCATTTCAAATCTAATGAGACATGGCAGATAAGCAGATAGGTGGATCGATCGATCTGGTCGCTGAAAGATCAAGGGAAACAGACAGCCATCAGTTCCCCAAACAACCCCCCTCCACCCTTTGCTCTCCGCCTGCTCTCGCTGGCATCTCGCTTTCCTCGCCCAAGTACTGCAGCGTCTTGGTATTCCAGAGGACACGGTTGCTATGTGAGGCATTAAACAAAGTCAAGTTTATTTAATGTGTTTGCTCATCAGAGATTTAACGGACCTTTCTCGGGGACTAGAAAACAGGGCGATTCTCTGAAGTGGAATCAATTCTTCCTCTAGTTCTTTGCTAGCCCTCCGCAGCCAGCCTGGTCCGCATCACAGCCCTGCGGTCTTCGCTGGACAGGGAGGAGGTACTCTTAATAACCATGCTTTCCAAAACCCTCCTAATATAAACTAGGTGCTGGGCCCCATCCATATGCTCAATACAAATCGCCTCTGAAATCAATTTATCATAGTCCCCAGACCACTCCTATCTATCTATCTATCTATCTATCTATCTATCTATCTATCTATGCCTATATATCTATATATATATATGTGTGTGTGTGTATCTAGATACACACATGTGTGTATACATACATTATAGATATATATATCTATATAGCTATATACACACAGAGGCATATACAGATAGGCATATACATACATACATACATACATACATATATATACATATTCAGTATGTGTGTGTGGATCTATGGATAGATAGATCTGTACAGTTGTATATGCAGATAGATAATCTATCTGTCTGTCTGTCTGTCTCCATGAACACCATCTATCTGCCTACCTGTCTGTCTTGTCTCCAGAATGGATGGAATAATACGGATCATTAACATTTTTTTTTTTCAAATGAGAATAAAAAAAAAAGTGTATGGATATGCATCAATGAAGATACCCAATGCTATAAAGGATCAACATAGACTATGTTATCAATATATTGAATGGGATTTAATTCAACCACAGGCAGCTCATAAAAGGACCCATTTAAAGCCATTTTCTAAACAGGTTGCACTGTCTATTAAACAGCAGTTATAAGGGGAAAATCTGTTAACTTGCTGATTTATGTGGAGGAATTCATTATATTATAATCAATATTAAAAATACAGATATCAGTGTAACGCATTGGCACTCAAAATCGATTCCCCTCTCCCCTTTCTGCCTTTATTTATTTTGGGGCTAAAAGATAACAATATAGAAAAATCTACTCTGTCCCCAGGGAAGCCAGGCAATATAAACAGACTTGGGTGTAAGCTGTGGGAACTGGGATATAATTAACAACATTTAAACAGAAATGAATAGACTGGTGCGTCTCATGCAGCTCTCAGGTGTCCTTTCAATGTCTAATAACTAAAAATAGTGACGGAGCGCCCCCTGTGGTTTTTTTCCCCCTTGAGCTCTGTTAATGACAGATCAGGAACCTGATCCAACAGAAGTAAACGGACAGACTGCCCTGGATTTCGGGGGAGGAGGGGGTTGGATCAGGCTCTACTGGAAGTGGGTTACCATTAGTTTCAGGTGCAGCTTTTAAACCACTGAAAGTTTACTACTACTGCCAACCTCTCCTGCTTTGTATCCCTTCTCATTTGCTGCATGCTCTTTCAGTGGGATCAGATGCCTGTAAAGTGATTTCAGAGCCTCAAATGAAAAGCTGTGTATAAATATTAAAGGCCAATCCTATTCCACCTATTAGGCATCTAAGTGGGCCTAGGCACCTAAAGTGCAATTCTATTCCACCCTGCCCCAGTGCCTGAAAAAACATTAACACAAAAGGTGGGTGGGCCCTCTTCATCTTGGATGCTTTTTGTGAGTCACAAGGCTAAGATGATGGTGTGTCACAAAAGTAGACATGTTATCAGTTGTTCAAGGTCTTAAGCCAGGTGGAATTGGATCACACTTAGGCACCCAGGTCCACTCAGGCACCTAGGAGGCAGAGTAGGATCTTGCCCTAAGTATTAGGATGATTTTTTCTCATTACGGCAAAAGTTTTAAAGAACCTTTTATAGTAAAAATTAATCACAACCTTATAAGAGGGGTAATTGTGATTTATAATAAAGTAACTACATCAAAGGGTCCATTTAAATCCCCCTAGCACATTAAAACAATCTGGGAGTGCATTTTTAAAAGGGTTAGTTCCTGTTAGATTTTTCTCACGTTTTGTCAACCCTTGCTTTCTGAACACAATGAAGGGACCACTGGGGAAAAGTCTTTAGACTGTTAAGTGGAAAATAGGACTAGGTAAACATCATGGTCTCTTCTAGCCATAAAGTTTATAGCAGAAAACCTGAACTCCCATTCTGTCCCCTTTAGCCCATGTAAAAGGGCAGGAATCACAGACTGAGCTCCTAAAAACACCAGATCCAGCTAGACTGGATTCCCCAAAGAAGGACCTGAGGGTGGCAGCAGGATGACTTCCTTCTGAGGACATCTCTATGAGCCTGAGCATATGAGGGATGAGGGGGCAGGATGAGGCCACAGAGCAAAAGGTGGGGGAAGGTTCTTTCCTTCATTTTGCAGAGAGGGAGTTTAGGCATAGAGATAGATTAGATGTTAGCAAGAACTTTTAACTAGGAAGGTGGTTAAGCACTGCAACAGATTACCTGGAGAGGTTGTGGCGTCTCCTCATTGGAAGTTTTTAAGTGCAAGTTAGGCAAACATTTGTCTGGGATGGTTAAAAGCAGGAAGGCTGGGGTGGGGGTGATCCTTCTTGAGCAGGACTAAGAAGGATTGCCTCTCAAGGGCACTTACTGCCCTGTTTTCTATGATTCTGTCATATGTGTGATGTTCATCTAGGCAGTTCATTAAAGTAGCTAATTTCTGGCAAGTCAGTACCTACTTTTCTGACTGAGTATATTTTCTCTTTTT